GGGAGTCAGGGCCACGGCGGTGGTAACGGGAGTGGGAGTCAGGGCCACGGCGGTGGTAACGGAAGTGGGAGTCAGGGCCACGGCGGTGGCAACGGGAGTGGGAGTAAGGGCCATGGTGGTAACGGGAGTGGGAGTCAGGGCCACGGTGGTGGTAACGGGAGTGGGAGTCAGGGCCGTGGCGGTGGTAACGGGAGTGGGAGTCAGGGCCGTGGCGGTGGTAACGGGAGTGGGAGTCAGGGCCGTGGCGGTGGTAACGGGAGTGGGAGGCAGGGCCATGGCGGTGGTAATGGAAGTGGGAGTCAGGGCCGCGGTGGTAACGGGAGTGGGAGTCAGGGCCGCGGTGGTAACGGCAGTGGGGAGGCAGGGCCGCAGTGGTAATGAGAGCGAACGTTTACAGGTCCTCACTCGCCTGCACTCTGCCACCCCAGAAACCTAAATACACCCAGTGGTGCAGGTTCTGTGATGACCCATGACTGACGACAGCGGAAGCGGAGTCCTGGGGTTTGCACAGAGGCTGCAGGAGGCAGCTGTGATGGAGACGGTGAGTGGCAGCTCTGCAGAGCTGAGACGGGGTCTGAGCAAAGGGGAGCAGCGAGCACAGCACAGGGCAAAACCAGGATCCCCCGATGCAAGCGGGCAGTGTCGGACATCACAGGTGCCCAGCGGAGAGCGTGAGGAGCTGGGAGGCTGAAGCCACCGTGTCCTAGCCCTGCGCTCCTCCAGTGTGGGAAGGAGCTCCGTCCTGACAGGGCAGCCATGGAGGCGCCGTCCCCCAGGCTCAGGAGCACATGGACTGTAGCACCCGAGCTTCCCACGCTTACGAGGAGAAATGCAGCGAGGCACATGACAGAAACCCCTTGAGCCGGAGCTGCCCAGTCAGTGGCTCCACCTGTCACCACGTCCTCCCCGTCTCCTGGAACGGCTGCAGTCCAGGTTTCCATGAGGAAGGCGTGTGTGCATGCCAGTCACCACACTTGTCTCCTCCCAAATGAACCCCAGAGTCTCCCAGTCCCCACCCCCGCCCCCACCCCTCCAGGCCCTCAGGGCAGAGCCTCCTTCATTTCCACACAACCCACCGCCCCACACACCACAGCCGCTCCTCACAGGCCCCAAATATTCCATGGGACAGCAGAGGGTCAACGCGTGCTCTGACCGGCCTACAGAGACGGCTCTAACCTGAGTCAATCCAGATTTGTCCCTAATTCCTGGACACCATTATCCTTCCTATAGGAACGACTTGGCACCTAAACACCCCTGACTTGATGAGCTCAGACGGGAGAGGAAAGGCAGGAGGACACCACACTTCCTTCCACACGAGGAGACACGTGGCCGGGCCTCAGCCACCCTCCACAGGAGGACACCACACTTCCTTCCACACGAGGAGACGTGCGGCCAGGTCACAGCCGCCCTCCACAGGAGGACACCACACACCTCCTTCCACACGAGGAGACGCATGGCCGGGCCTCAGCTGCCCTCCACTGACTCCCACCTCGAAGTCCCCTGGCCTCCATGTTGGTCACTGCACCTTCCATGGGATGCAGATGGCTCTCGGCAGCCCCACCCACTCTAGCTTCTTCCTCACCCTTCACTGGCTGCTAAAGACACAGCACACTCCTGGGAAACAGCAGGGCATCACCAGCTGCCCAACACCTCATTCATCCAGCACCAGCCAGAAAGGCATCAAGAAACACCAAGAACTCGAGCACCTGCCGGGGCCCTGCACACAGCTTCCGAGAAGTTTCCACCAGGCTCTGGCCGCTCTCCCCGCCGCACCCCGCCCGTCGTGTAGACCAGACGCCGCCCTTTTCAGAGCGCTTCAGGCTATTCTGAAGCAGGCCCTGCACGGGAAGCACGAGGGCCTCTGTTTGGGAAGAACGGCCAATTAAGCAGCTTCTTATTTCAAGAGCCGCGTCTCGGCCTGCGAGGATGAGATGTCCCCACAGAAGCGGCTGGTCCTGAAGTGGCTCCGCGAGGCGGCTCTGCTGTGTGGCAAGCGCACTCGTCGGTAAGCGCTCCTTCACAGTTAATTATCTCTAACGTCAAGTGCTGTCGCAAACGCGAGCACGCACACTGACTCACGTGTGGCCACACGCCCTTCCTGAGGAGGCCGCCCGCGTTCTGCGTGCAGCTCACTAAGTTGTCTGTGAACAGAGCCGCCGTCGGCGGGGTGGGGAGCCGGGCGAGCAGCTCTCTGACGCCAGCACGGTGATGTCCGCTCAGATGGCGGCTTGACAGATTTTAGACGATGTTAGGGAAGCGTTTCCTGTCTTACAGCCCCTCTCCCAAATACGCGTCTTCCAATACTGAAGATAAAGTCTGTCCCACTGAGACCCAGGAGGAAACAGCAATTCCTCTAGGCCTATTCATTTTCACACACTTGGCCACTAGGAAACCACTGAAGAAGGAAAGAAGCCCATGTCTTCCCAAGGCTTCTCTGTTCTTAGCCAGGAACGCCTTTTCTTGTGAGGACAGCAACTTCGGACTTCAAAAGCACCTAAGACGCCATCGAACCCGCCAGGCACGTTTCGTCACCGTTCCCCACCCACAGCAGGGCACTCCTGCCACAGCCCGCTGGTCCTCCCAGGAAACAGGACCTCGGCTCAATCAACCTGCAGGCCCAGCCTCTGCTCTCAGGGTGGCCGCCAGCACCCAGACAGCACCGCAGAGCGGAGGGCACGCCTCCCGTTACTCACCGACCCGACTCCGGTTTGAAGAATCTTCAGTCCAGAGGTTTCCTCCAGTGTGTCTTTGTTGTCAACTGTTAGGAAAAATCAGAAAGCACAGGGGTCAGCTTGGAGAGGCCATCAGTCTCTAGGAACCTCGGAGCATTTCCCTCCATATTGAAAAATTCAACGACATGGCTGCTTGACCCACTTCATTTAATGGAAGTGTCATGAACAGACACGGAATCAGAACCTGTACGAGGCCCCATTTTCCCACTGACCAGTGGGTCCCCCTCGGGCCAGCACAACGGTGCGCCTTTGGTTCCATCTAGAAAGGGATGTCCCACCAGGAGCCCACAGGACCACTGTGAATCACTGATGAGAAATATGTAGACATGCTCTGCAGAGTGCAAAGGCTTATTTTAAAATTACGTAATCGTTCATTGCTGTATAATTAGTGGGAAGTATGTTTCATTAACTAGCATTAGGTGTTGATAAAAAGACTCCTTGGAAGGCAAAGCTGAATGTGTGCGTTTCTGTCCTTATCACTGCCAACGATTACTCTGCCTCCTGTTCGTGCCCTGACAGGAACATCCTATAATAATTTAGCTCCAACAAAAGCCTCATCCTGGTTTTCTCCTGGTGTAGAATGAGGAAGACTTTCAGAGAATGAATTGCAGTTGGTGGCAAAGCAAGGGAAATGAGCCCTGGAAACAATTAGCACATGGAAATGAAACCTCAGTAATCCCAACACCAGCACGGCAAACCCGTCCGCCCCACTCCAGAGAGGATGGGTGTCACCAGACAA